GGACGTAATAAATCGACCATGAAAAGTGTGTGATTAATTTTAATTGTGAAGTTTCTTTGAAACGAAAAAGAATGTGAGAAGTTAAATAACAAAAAAAATGTTTGACCTGAAAATCTTTTGAAGGGTTTTAAGTTTTAACGTGACTCATAAAGGACTCAGGTAAAAAACGGCGTTGAGTTGGGTTCAGTTGAAACGTTTTAACAATACTTAGAGGAGAGAAGAAGTTTTTAGTTTTTAAGTTATTGAAATTTTTTGAACATCTTATTTTATCTGATCCAATCTAGAACATGCTTAAATCATTCGACACATAAACATTTTTAATTTTGTTTAAAAATGTTTTGGTTTCGTTCTTATCGCAATGCTTATGACAGATTCATAATTTATCGGTTTTCAATTTTAAGTGTATTACGTAAGTGAAATTAATCCATATAATTTATAACAAAATTTTAATTTAATTTTGGCTTTAATTTCCAAATTAGTTGTCTCTCTTCACATTAATTGTTAATATGAATAATCATAACTAGGTTGCAATAATATCGTTTGTATATTTAATGTACAGGGTGTCCCGTTAAGCGTACGGAGCGGCTGTATCTCTAGAACGGTAAGGCCAAGAGGTTTGGGAAAAAAATCCTTATAAGCAAAGTGACCAAGAGAAATAGCTGGAAATTATTTTGAAGCTCGTAATTCGACCGCTAGGGGCTTAACTGCCATTGAGAAACATAAAGTTACCGCTATCTCAGAAACTTAGACGATGAGCTATAACTTTGACAACATCATTTAATAGCTTGGATAATACCGCATCGCTTTTGTTTTGCGATATTTCTCATATCTGTCATAATAAGGGAGGGGGAGGCCAATGCGTTTTCATATGTTTACATTTTAATATCTCCTAGACCATTCAACCGATTTGAATGTTTTCGGTGTTGTTTGAAAGAGCATTTTATGCTCTTTTTAAAGATATTTTCAGTAAGACCGTCTGCTTGGAAACAAATGAGCTAGAGGACGTTATCTGCAGCGATTACATATTTTTGTGATTTTTGAAGAAAAGTTAAATGGAACGATACTATTTACTTCACAGACCCTTAGTCACCTTAAAATTTGCTAAATTTTAGTGAAAACCGCATCTCGATATCGCCACCTGTTCTCGAGTTATAGAAGAAAATGTTAAAAACTCGAGTGCCATCAATCGGATCCAGTTACCTCATCGAGAAAAACAAATCACATTACCATGGTAACTGTAAACATGTCATTTACTAACGCAGAAGCGTATGATAGAGCGTATGATGATTTATTTTCAATGTTTCGAATACGATGCAACTGCATGGCAAAAATGTGCAATGCAATTACGACAAAGAAAGACATTTTTCTCTAGAAGTGTTTTTAAGATTACCTAAAACTGGCAACGTGTAGCCCATTCAGACGTCTCTATGAATTCGTAAATCATATTGGTGCGCAATGTGATCCCACATAATCTGGGAACTCCGAAAACAATTGTCCACAAGAGTTCTCAAGAGAATAATATCTCCACGGCGTTGTTTTACATCAGGCCTTAACAGATACCGATTATGATAACTGACTGAACTATTACCATTGACTTTTAAATATGATTTGGGCAAATCCAAACCTTTTATCACAAATGCTATGGATGCATGAAGCATCTGTCCACAAGCTGATGTAAACTTGCATAATATGCATTCTTGGTTCGAGCAAAACCCACATTGCTTTCACCCCTTTATCTATTGGGTAGACTAAACGACCTGACTTTTCAAGAAAAACCAATAACCAGGGAAAATATGCGAAAACACTAAATACCAGTAAAAACGTGTCCAGGGAAGAGACTTAGCAGCGCTTTTTTTTCGTCGAAACTAGATTAAATAAATGCATCGAGGTTTATGTAAGACATTTCGAACATTAGTGAGCTATTTTTGCCAAAAATTTAAGTTGTTCTAAGTGTTTCGGTTTATTTTGTTTTATTATCATTGTTGATGTTTCATTGATCCGTTGGCTTTTCAACACGCCTCAAAAGGTAGTTTTGAAGCAGTTCTAAGCTTGGATAAAGTGTGAAGGAAGGTTCTAGATAATAAAATTTTTGTTATCTCTTATTTGTTTCCTAAGGTAACTTGATCCGATTAAGATATACGAATTTTTAACATTTTCTTTTATAATTCGAGAATGGATGGAGATATCGAGATGCGGTTTTCACTAATATTTAGCAAATTTTATGGTGATTAGCGGTCTGTGAAGTAAATAGTACCGTTCCATTTAACTTTTTTTCAAAAATCACAAAAATATGTAACCGCTGCAGATAACGCCCTCTAGCTTATTTGTTTTAAACCAAGCGGTCTTACTGAAAATATCTTTTAAAAGAGCATCAAATGCTCTTTCAAACAAGACCAAGAATATTCAAATCGGTTGAATGGTCCAGGAGATATTAAAATGTAAACATTTGAAAACGCATTGGCCTCCCCCTCCCTTATTATGACAGATATGAAAAATATTGCAAAACAAAAGCGATGCGGTATTATCCAAGCTACTAAATGATGCTGTCAAAGTTATAGCTCATCGTCTAACTTTCTGAGATAGCGGGAATTTTATGTTTCTCTATGGCAGTTACGCCCCCTAGCGGTCGAATTACGAACTTCAAAATAATTTCCAGCTATTTCTCTTGCCCACTTTGTTTATAAAGATTTTTTTCCCAAACCTCTAGGCCTTACCGTTGTTGAGATACAGCCCATACAGCCGCTCCGTACGCTTAACGGGACACCCTGTATATTGTACATTAAATATACAAACGAAAATGAATAATAGAAGGCTGCAACATCATATTGCATTTAAGACAAAAGTGCTTGATGAATTAATAAACGTTAATGATGGTCTTTCAGTGCTGACGAGTAGATTATAATGTCATCGAGATAAACGAGACACGTGTCTTCGAGTTATCATTCTTTTAAATTTGAAATGTCCATGTTCGGTGGTAAAGACGGGTTTTTTATATCTGTTTGTTCCATTTCAATCTAATGATAACCAGATGCTAGATAGTTCGCCCTTTCCAATTTGTCAAGTATATCTGCTACTATATCTGCTATCAAGTAGCGGTTTCTGATATGACAAAATCATTGCTGTTCTTTCTACTTATTGTATATGCATCAGTATAAGTGTTGGTACTGATTTGACTTTGAATCATAATTATTGTATGGAATAAAGTTGGAGTGTGATGATTGGGGTTTAGCAGGTTTAGCCGTCTTAAGAGACTATTGCATAAGATATCTTTGTGTCATAAAAAACTTGGTTTCTAAAAAAATTAATAAATTCTCCACAAAATATCGATTTTTATTCTTTTGGGACTTCTGCCAACATTTTCACTTCTCTAAAGTTCACGATTACCCCAAGCGTCCCCCACCCTTCCAACTTTAAATTGGTAGGGAGTTGTGTTGAACATCAACAGAAAGGTCTTCGAATACTGTTTTCAAACTAGCTATTGATTAATCTGTTAAAAAATCCTTAAAAGTGAAAATTTCTAATTAATAGGAGAAATTAATTTGATTCGATAATGTCAAAATAGATTTAGCTATTTTAAAAAAATTAAAATTTTAACATAAATTTGAAATAATCAATAATATCGAATCAAGATCAAATTTAAATCAGCTTTATAATCAACATAAATTATTACGTAATTGCTTAGATGACACTAACAGTGTAACTGAATACGAATAGGTTGAAACTCATAAATAAAGAGCACGCCAACTCAAACAAATATCTCTACCTGAACTGCAACCCAAAGTTAAGTATCAAGAACCTTCGCGTAGGTACCTACAATAATAGCTTACATAAACAGGACGTTGGCCTTCAATGTTCTATTTTTAGAAATCCGTTTGGAGGTTTCTTTCAGGTTACTCAAGGTTAAAACCTAACGTCGTCAAAAAAAATAATGTTGAAAAAGTATTTTCTAAGCAAAAGTTATCATCTTTCGTAAAAATTAAACTAATTGCAAGATAACAATTACACGAGATTGAAGTGAGTCATAATTCCCATTAAACATAAAAGCATTAAAAGTTATACCTTCCAACTTGATTTACGTTTCCCTTTCCATTACAAACTTGAAGTTCCAAGCCATTAAACCTGATAACTCTTATCAGTGGTAATACGTAAATCAATGATAAACAACTGATAATAATGGTATTCAAAGTTTCTATATAAATAGAATATTAGAGAGATTATTTAATAAAAATATTTGAAGTGTATCATATTACACTAAGGTCAAACGATTAAATTACACCTATAAAATAATGTTGATTATATGAATGAGTCATCCTACTCCATTCTTTCCACACATAAATAGAATTCCAAAACGATTCTTTTTTTAGCAAGTATATTTTTAAGTTTACTTTATTCAATTGATAACGTTAGCTTAATTAGAATTTAAAAGAATATTAATTAGGTATGTAAATGAGTCAGGATAACGTAATGTATCCATGAAGAATGAGTCAACAACACCTCCATTTCCATTCTCGCCAAATGTTGAAACCACGGCCGACAAAAACTGGTAATAACCGTGCTGGTAATAGCGGTAATTAATCAGAACAGCGCCGTTCGACGAAACATCATGAGAGAGAAGGGGAAACGAGGGCATTAGCACAGTTAATTATTATCTTTCTCGGTTCCACTACACGATTCCCCGCCTTCCCTCACCGCAACATATATCGTGTTGGTGGGGGGCTGAAATCGTGTATAATTGTTGAAACTCCGACTAAAACTTCAACACGCGAAACAATGGAGAAGCGGCGGATCAACACAGGGGAGGGGGAAGTAAATTTAGTGAGGGGAGATTCAGAGAGGAGAGATGCGGTAAATGTGAGAGAGAGAAGGAAGAATTTATGAAGAGAAAAGACGAAGATACGTATAGAATGTTCTCCCCCCACTAATCCACGCTAACCGATGGGTTCGAAATGGTTCCCCCCACCAAAAACCAAAGCGAACACCGTGCGCCGGTTGGTTCTCTCACCCTAAATCCATGAGGAGAAGTTTCAACTTATATCCTTCCACAGCGTTTCCCCAACGTTCCCTTCCCGGTTCCCAGTTTTGCTAACGGTCTCGAAATCATTGGTCGACCTGAATTGGCGCTCTCTAACGCGGTTATATTTTGTATTTGTTTACGTACTCAAGTATCGTTCAATCAAAAAGTAAACATTTAAATACTAATCATAACGGTTGTTATTGTCAAATTTGACTTGACTGGACGTTTATCACTGTCTAAACAACTTTCTTCAAGATCCAACGTAGCGATTACTGTAAAGAGGGATGATTGTGGTATCTGTAAGTACTTATTATCATATTTATTTTGAAAATGAGATTGGAAAATATTTAAAGCTTAGAAATTTACAATTGAGCACGACATTAAAATCCAAGTATAAGTTGATATTACATTAAAAATATTCGAGAATTGACCCTTAAGGTTATACAACCAATATAGCACCATCATAATATAACACTTCCCTCCATTTTTTAGGTTAATTTATACTTTTATCAAGCATTTTTCGTTTTATTCATTCACTTTAGTTTCCTCCTTTATTGTTCATTTTAATTTAAGTTTCAGGATAATGATCAGCCCAAAGACTGACACGCATGATAGATCAAATTCTGGTATGTAAATTGAGACCTAAAAGCTTTGCACATCATTGGTTTTTGAAATCCTCGCACTTGTTAAAAAAAATGTGTAATAAACTGAACAACTACTATTTACTAAATGCATGTTGTTAAATTGTCATAATCAAGGTAATTTTAATTTCCCACTAAATTCAGATTCCCGGGTAATTGATTGTGATATCAGGGTTAAATGAACATAAACATTAATGTAAATATGATACAAAAGTTGCATTGAGATGATTTTAATATCATATATAGTGATTCAAAAATGATACAGTTGATTGAATTAAAATTAATAAATAAGTAATTCATAATATCAAATAATAATCAAATAATTTCATAATTGATAAGTAACAAAGCTTTAAAGGCGCTTTAAAATCATTTGTGCCAAGTGAATATGTTGTACGGGGTGGTCAAATAAGCGTGCAAAGTTCTGTATCTCGGAAACTACTCATTGTAGAGATTTGCGGTAAAAAATTTAACCACTAAAGTGGCTAAGAGAAAATCCTGGAAATTATTTTCAAGTTTCTAAGATGATCACTAGGGGGCGAAATCGCCGTATTGAATAAAAAAATGTGGGATTTTTCGGAATTCCGCCGTATTAACATAATAAAGAAGTATGCTGAACTAAAATTAGAACTAACACTAGAAACTTTCGGATTTTGCCGTGCGTCTTTTAAGAAAACTGGTTCGAACCAGTTTCTAAAGAAGGTTGCAACATGGCGTCCGAAACGTCAAACCTTTTCTTCAAACACGCGCAAAACCCGAAAGTTTCTAGTGTTAGTTCTAATTTTAGTTCAATTCACACCGGTCGTGAAAGCCTTCGTACTTATAAAAAAGTATGCATTTTAAACTTTAGATAAATTATAGTTTTTTTTGTTAAAACACTTTTGACCCTACCTTTAAAAATAAAGTGGTGGGGGCTGTTCGATAATGTTAAACGCTAACCTTGATACTTTTTAGTTCTAGGTCTAGTGTTGGTTCTAGTTTTAGTTCATTAAAAATATGCAACATAACATTAGCGTAAGATATCACTTATGCTAACTAGCGCTACCTACTACTATCACTAAAACTAGAAACATTCGGATTTAGTCACCCGGCTATCAAGACGACAAAATCCGAATGTTGGTAACCAGACCTACAAATTAACAGCGTTGTCAATAATAAACTCTTAAATGTATCTGTTAGTTAACGATTAATTTCCTAGAATTTATGTATAAACTTTCTTACATAATTTTTAAGATCCTATAATTTCTAAGTCTTGCTTATTACATTGTTTTATATCACTCAACGCATTAATTTTTTCATGATCTTCTTTTATACCTTGTTTATACTTTTGATAACTTTTCTTTATTAAATTTTATCCCATTAACCTGTATTGTGTTATTATTGTTTATAAAATCCACTCATATTCTTCAAACAAATTAGCAACCATTAACAAGTCATCAACAAGTATTTTCAATACTTCATGTCAAATTCAAGGAGATTATTCTCAGTTATTAGCTGATTAGAGTTTAAAAAAAAAATTTAAAACTACTACACTAAAATTATGATTTAAAACGCTCTTTTTATTTGGCCAAACTAAAATAAAATCAACCATTGTTGTGCATTTATGGGCCTCATGTAAAGCACGCAGCGGAGTCATAACAATAACACCATACCCATAAAGTGCATACTTAAATGCCCTTAATACATGCATAGAAAACAACCTATCTTCTCAAACGTACTAAATTGCACATTAACTTGTGAGTCGAACGATGAAAACAATTACATCAAGACTTAAGTAAATTATAAGCTAATAATCCCGCTTCTTTTAATCCATTGGAATGTTTTCAATCTTTCCCAATTAATATTAAACTTAAAACACCCAACTAATCCAATTTTTAACAACATTACAAATCGTAATCTTATTAATTTTTTTTAATATCGTCCTTTTTTTTTCAGAAGATGCAAAAACAGCTCCGAATTTCCGCTGTTCTTCCTGCAATATAACCTTTGCGTGCGATTTCCAATTAAACGCACATCTTTTGCACCACATTAAACAACCCAAGGTTCAATTGAACAGAGTTCTGGAGCCCATAAAGATCACCCTCAAGTGTAAAGACAAAGAGACAAGTAGTTTCGAGGTGGTGACTTCACCGAAAACGTATAATTTGAATTCGCCCCCCTTTAAAAGTATCCTGGCGGAAGACGACCGCGTTCAGACTGATGAGCCAGAGACGGCTCAAGAAGAACCGAAAGAAGACGAAGAAAAAATCAAAGTGGCTCCCAAAGTTGAAGCGGTAGTCGAAAACACCCGGGAAGATGTTGAAGAAGGTGATGAACCACACGAACCGGATATTAGATTTACAACCAGTTTTACTGGAGACGAAGATGATGAGGAAGCCAAACCCGGGTCTATTGAATGCGATGAAACGAATCTTGAACCTATAGAATATACTGAAGCGAATATGGAATCTACAGAAGAGAACGGCGATGACGACGTTGTTGATGATGTAAATGATGATGACATTAATCGGGATGATAATGCAACAAATCTAAATGATAATACAATAAATGAGAATAATGAAGAAATTAATCGTAATGATGAAATTAATCATGATGATGATATGAAAAGTAGTGAATATGATGATGAAAAAGAAGATGCAACTAGTGATTATGGAAGTGAAGCTACATCTGGAGCCGAAGCAACACCTTTACCAGAATCATCTCCCGATTATCCTAAGATACGAATTAAATCTGGGTTACTAAAAGAAACTGTTACTATAACGGAAATAACAGATGAAGAGAATTTAGAAGAAAATGCTTCAAACAAAAATCGAAATAACAACGAATCGCGTGCAACTAGAGAAAAAGGATGGAACTCGCCTTCTATTGAAGATCCTTTATCGATTTCGGAAACAAACCACGCTTCAGATGGTTCCCTCATATCAAGTTTAATCAGCAATAATTACGATCGAGCAAAAGATCTAGGTTTTACCACTAGTGATTCTGAATTTATATCAATTGATAGATTTGAAGATAGGAACCGAGCATTAGTAAGTTATTGAAATAATTATTTAATTTGTACATATAACTAATCTTAATTGGGATCATATAGCAGGTCTTCAACACCTCAGGAGCTACATCTTCGAATTCCCAAAATCCATTAAACACATTAGCGGGGCTACCAATGCAGCAATTAGCAGAACAAGTTTCAAGACTGCAACCTAACAACGCAGGGATGCATCAACAAAATGTACTCATCAACATACAACAGTTTCAACAACCTCCGCAACCTCAACACCCATATCAGCCGCCACCGATGTATCCTCACCCTCCTGGAGTACCACCGCAACCAATGTATCATCATCCACAATATCCACAATATCAGTAAGTTAATTTGCATAGTTTATGTTGTAATTGTTATTATTTAAACGTGGGTAACATTAAGCTGTTATTTCATCATTAAAGTCTCTCTTTACAATGACATTGAAACGTCATAAAAACATCACGTACAACGTCAAATTTCTATCATTAGAGGACACTGAAATAACTTTGGAATTTTTTACTTGAAAAGTGACGTAAAAGTATGTTTTAGATTTATAGTTCGTTTTTTTTCTATAATACTTGTCAATGTAAATTATTTAGGGTTTCTGTTGGTATTATCTAGGACCCTTATAAAATTTATGTTGTTTTCATGATTTTTAGTAACATTGTCAGTAACTAATTAGTTGAGGTTAAAATACTAATAAATTTTTAGATAAATACGGTTTTGACGAAGTACATATTTGTTATAAAAATGTGCTACAAAGTAATTAAATAGAATAAAATACCTTTTCTAGGTAAGTAAATAGCAAATAAACACCCCACAACACTTTTTATGCACCTTTTCTTTTTGAATAACGAAAGCTCAAACGTCAATGTGACATATTTACTTCAAAACATGATAAAACAAAACTCCCTGTTAATTTTGCCAACTTTACAACAAATTGACAGGTATTATAGAAAAAAAATGAACTTTGAAACGTCAATTGACATTTGTACCTTGAAATGAAAGACTTCGTTTCTAAAATAACATTTTTACATTGCAAGGTACCTAACATGATCCTTCAAAATGGTATGTTTCTAAAATTAACATAACCCCACATTCCAATAAAGCCAATAAATTACTTGTAATAAGTTATTAAAATATCAACATTTCTTACAATTTTTATAATTTTATTTGCAGACCTCCAAATCCAATGTATTACCCACCCGGTCCGGGGTATCCACCTCATATGCCACCACCACCACGTTCACAAATGCCTCAACAGATACCCCAACAAATGCCTCAACAACCGCCTCAACAAATACCTCCCCCATACCGACAACCTAACCCAAGACAACCTATGCAATCCAGACCACAACAAATGCAGCAACAAGTTCGTGGGACGCAATCGGTGAGGTCAATGGGTCCAAGAGGACCAATGGGACCACGCCTGCGAGCTCCAGTTCGTGGGGGTGGTATTGGATCAAGAGGCGGCGGGCCATTTCGTCAGATCAGACCAAGAATGGCCGGACCATCCACAAATGGACCGCAACAGCAACAACACCAAACGATACAGAATCAAGGACCTAGAATGCCGAAGAGAAGTCCCGATCAGATGACGGCTATGCAACAGACAGCGGCGAAACGGAAAAGGATAGACATGTTGGTGCCGGATAAACATGATGATCCAGATTGTGAGGTGATTGCCGTTCAACCTAAAAATACGGGGTTGCCGCAAATTCAAAGTATACAGGTAAAAAAATATTGACTACCCAAACACACCGCAGTGTATGGGTCCACTTAGCAAATATCATTATTTGCTAAACGTAAATTATGAATTTAGCTTTAAATAAAACTAAAAATCAATCTTGCGCAATATTATTTGAAAATTTTATTTTAAATTTACCGCGTAAATAGTCAAACGATCTAATATTAGATATTTTAACAGAATTTTAACCTCAAAATTAAAAATTAAAACGGTGAAATGACAGTTATTTTAGAAAACGTCAGTTTTCAAAATAAAAAGTGAGAATACAATCAACATGAAAACATGGTAATTTAATTACATTAATTTCGTTTTAAGATATTGAAAACTTATATTTAAAGATTGAAATATTTTAATAAAGTTTCCGCTAAACTTTCATTCAATGTATAGCCGGTATGATATTTGTTGAGCCAAATTTCTCAGAAAACCATTACATTAGATTCTTGGAATTAAGTAATTTCTTATGAAAAGAAATCAATTTAAGGTGTATCATTATTTTAAGACAATTTATCCAAATGATTATAAAACAGAGTTTCAAAAAAAACGTGTTGTAAGTGGTACAGGTGTGTCTCTGAAACAGGGTGAAACGGGTTTCATACCTAAATCTCTCTTGATTTTTAAATCTGGAACCAAAGGCTGAGACTACCATAGCGACATGAACTCGTAAAATTATGAGAAGTGGCTTACAGAGAAGCTAATTCCTAATCTTCCCTATCATAATGTATAAGTATATAAAACACCTACTTGCAATTCAAAAAAAGCTAGACTGGTTGCTAAGTAAAAATATACCTTTTTCGCCCAATTTGCTTAAGTCTCAGCTGTATGATATTATTAAATATCATAATAAACAACACATTGTTTACAAATTCGATCGTCTGCTAGAAAAAAACGGACATGTGTTATTTATTATTTATAAGATTGGTTGAAGTGTTGTCGAAATGTTAAAGTTGAAAATAATTATTTAGAAAACGAGGTTCGAATTGATGTGGCAACCGAAAGTTTAATTATTACTGCTTCTGATAGTGAAACTTCTAGTGAGGACGACTTTTAAAATTTATCAGATTTTGAGGAGCTGTGGGTTGGTTAATCCAATAAAAGTTTCTTTGTTTGTTCCGTTATTTTTTCAAAAAATTGACGTTATATTTTTTATAACTTAATTTTTTACAACAAAAGCTCGCTGCAAATCCGTTAATTAGTTTCTGAGATATTCACCAAAAGTGACCAAATATCTAAAGCGAACGAACGTTATTAATTTTTTCCATTCTGAGAATTTTAGCTCAACAAATATCCTACCTACTGTATATACACTATATACAGTGAATTTCACTTAAGATGCGATATACAAAAATATATTTCCATAGAAACTAGGGCGTACCTACTTAGTCCCACATAAAATGCAACATAATACAACAATAAATAAATACAACAATCTAGCTGAATAACATATAAAACTAGACTAACACTAGCACTAGACCTAGAACTAGAAACATTTCATTTAACCGTGCGCCTCTTAAGACGGCTAAACCGGAATGTTTCTAGTTCTAGGTCAAATGTTAGTTCTAGTGACAGTGTTAGGTAGCGGTAGTTAGCATTAGATATCACTATGTTGTATATTCAGTGATGGGCGCTGGGTAAATACCCGGCGGGTAGGTATTTATAAAATGGGTATTTACCCCGGTCCACGGTAAATACCAAAGCAGTACATATAAAAGTGATACAAGTAAAAATATAACAGGTTTGGAAAAAATGTAGAGGAAGATGATCAAATGGGCGTTGAAGACGAGGAATTGTCAACGATCGAAGACGTATTATAATCAGGCAACCACTGCTCATTCTTCATTCTTGCGACGATGATCCGTCCAGTTCCACTTGAGCTTTGCCACAATGTTGACCACATCATTTAATCCAGTTCTTCTTCGTAGGTCTTCATTTCGTATGTGGTCCCACAGGGTTACACCCCGCATCGACCTCTCCAGTTTTCTTTGCGTTACTTTGAGCCTCCTGGTAATGGCCACCGTTAATGTTAAAGTTTCAGAACCGTATGTCGTAACCCAAGGAGGAAGCAGGCATTGATTGAAAGCCTTTCTTTTCAAATATACAGGAATATCGCTCATGAAGATGTCTCTAAGTTTCCCGTATTATCTCTCGATACACGAACCTCATGGCCAAGATATACATAACTGTTAACCTCCTTAATCTCATTATCCCCAATGTTGATGTTAGAGCTGGGAACAAGATTTGTCATAAATTTTGATTTCTCCACGTTGATCTTTAGCCCGACTTTTGCACACCTTCTGTAAGTCGTTCAGCATCAGTTTGATCTCTCCAAAGCTATCCGACATAAGGACTGTATCGTTCGCGTAGCGCAAATTACTTAGGTATTGCAAACAATGTTTATACCTTTTTGGGTCCAATCTAATTGTTTAAATGCACTCTAGGACTGTGATGAACAATTTGAGTGCAACATTGTATCGCCTTGTCTTACCCCACGCCCAATGGGTTTTCGGTCAGTACTTACATGCAATTTTACCGTCATTGTAGCATTCTTGTAAATGTTATAAATAAGTTTGGTGTATCGATAATCGCATTCTTGAACTACTTGCAAAACTGCCATCAACTCAATTTAAATCAAATTTTATAAATACCTCTAAATACCCATCTTGGGTAAATACCCCCGGGTATATATCCAGGGAATTTTCCCTTGAAAATAAATACCCGGGTATTTAACAACACTGTGTATATTTGTATTGAACTAATACTAGAACTATCACCAGAACTAACACAAGACCTCGAACTAGAACCATTCGGGTTTAGAACTCTTGAGAGACGTGCCGCTAAATCTGAATGTTTCTAGTTTTAGGTGTAGTGTTAATTCTAGTTTTAATTGTTATTCAGCGTTAGATTGTGGTATATTTTTATTGAAAAAAAATAGAACTAACACAAGACTTAGAACCAGAAACATTCGGGTTTAACCGTGCGTCTCTTAAGATGGCCGAAAACTTAGAGTTATAATAAGGACGTCACCTTTTCCAAGCAAAACTTTTTCTTTCCAGAACTATCCAATGCCTGTACTATTAAGCTATGTTGCATTTTATGTGGGTCAGTGCAAGTATAGTAGTTTTGTAACTATGGTTATTGCATTCATATATAGCGAGTTATATGAAATTACCAGTATAAAAGAAATTATCTTTTATATTGGAATTTAATATTTGCATACCAACTGTTGGATTGATATAAATTTATAATGATAAACTTGTGGTAACTTGTAAACGCAACACTTGCCGCTCTGACAAATTATTTTATTAAATTAGTTACATATTTAGTAACATATTCGTAATATAATAGTACACTATAATAAGATAAATACGTTTCATTACTTTTAAATCATCCTGTATACAATTATTGTTATCATGAAATATTTATTTTTTTTGATAATGTTATTAATTGTATATTATTTTTCAGGGAAACGCATCAGAACCCAACGATAGCAACGTGATGCATTTATCAGATTCCATAACATTATCAGTGAGGAACCCGCCAGTGCGTCCTGCAAGTCCTAAGAAGTCAGACGCAAAAGCAGTGGCGAATATTTTAGCAACAAGAGGTATTACGGTTACTGCGGCTCCAAAACCAAAGAAACCTGAATCGCCAATTAATAAGAAACCCATTTCCCCACCACCACCACCAGTTGCAATTAATCTTAACAGTTCTGTTAGTATTCTACCAGCGCACAAACCACCCCAAAAAGTAAGTCTAAAACATAATTTAATAAAATTAAAAATAATTCCTTTTTTTTTTTTAATTTTGCAGCCGTCGTCAAATTCAAATTCATCCGGAACAAAATTACCTACCGTCGATTTAACTGATGATACTTTACCAGAACCAAATCCCCCTCCATCTCCCCCACAACATCAAAAACAAGTACAAAAGCAAAATCCTCAAGCTCAAAAAGTGCTGCCTTTCCAATGCGATCTATGTCCAGCAAAGTATCCAAACTTGATAAGTTTAAATAAACACCGCCAAGGATTCCATAAAACAGCCGGTTTCCCCGAATTTGGAATTCCGTTAATAGACTTAAGGCAGCCTGGAGTAATGCAAAAATTAACCAGCATTGGGATTTATAATTATATTCCGTTACCTGGAGCGGCAAACGATTCAACGTTTGCGGTACCCGTTATATCCGGTAGTAATAGGAACGTTGCTAATAATTTGGGCAACATTGGTTTAAATTCCGTTCTAAATTTGGGCCCGATAAGAACGTTTATGAAGCCACAGCAACAAAATAATCAACATCATCCGCATCATCAGAATCATCAAAAACATAACACGAATCACGTTAATCATGCGAAATAAAAAAAACTTTTTAAGAATGCAAGTTGAAAACAGTATTCTATTAAAGAATTTAATGATAAAGAATATAAGAACTAGGGAAACTTATTCAAAAGTTTTTTCTACACTTAAAGAATACCGTCTATGTTGAACAATTTTTTAATGTTTAGTTTTTTTGATCATTATTTTGAGTTGTAAGTACTTAAAGTCGAACTTTAAGTTAAATGACTGATTGCTTTTTGTTATATAAAATATACCTAAGTACTCTGTAGTTGCATAATTGTGCAATTAATGATGTGATTTTTATAAATTAAGAAAAATTAATAAGTGTGTTTCTAGATTATTATAATACAGTTTTATGTATTTTTGTACAAATTTGTGAATAAATTAAAGAATAAATTTTGTTTTCTAATATTCTATTTGTTTAAAATAAAACCATCTAAATTCGTAAATATTAAACATCATATCGCCGTAACAAGCTATAATCATGACCAGTCTTTCTTGCTGCTGCTTTTTGGACCCCAACCCGGTTGTGAACTACAAAGAAGCCACCTAAAACAAGTAATCAACAGTTGGGAGGGCTCAAAGGTAGCCTTACAATGGGTCACATACAAGCGTAGAGTGCAAAGAGGTTTTATGCCTCAGCAAAGGGGATCTAAGGACGCTCTCAGGTTTCCTGACCTTGGAGCAATACTAAGCTTTATTAAGGACCTACATTTGCCCTAAACTTTTGGAGGGCTAAAGTTACAATAGATCTTATAGGTCGCGGTGACGAGAGGGGCCGCTCCCTTCAGCCCGGTAGCAATAATAAGAAATTTGATAATAATAATGTATGTCATTTTTGACAATTAATTCAAAAATTATTTTAATCTTTACCTTGGAAACATACTCAATTATTATCAGATTGTATCTATTCAAAAAACTGAAGTTGGCAGAAATATAAAAACCGTTAAAAGCATTAGAAAAGTATATTTATAAAATTTTTTCAAATATTCTACGAAATAGCTAGTAGAGGTATATTCTACTAGCTACCAATTCTACGAAACGATTGATTAATTGATCGGTGCCTTCGGAGCACTTCGGAGGTTCCATTTACTTCCATTGGGAGACGGGGAGAAATTTTCCATCATCATTTGGTTAACTGCTGAGTACTTGAACTCGTCGCAACCGGCTTTTTGCATCTGTTTATTGAGGTGAGGGACCCTCCTTCAACGTGTTAATTCGTCAACCTGTACATACGTCACTATTTTATAGGTTATTTTAGTTCACTATGGGCGTAAAAATAGAAGGTATCTCCGCTGGAGATGGTAAGTTAAAATTTCTTTCTTTCTTTATTATATGTGCTTATAAAAAAACTTTTGCATTATTCCTTTAACGGTTTTCTTTCTGTTCGATAATATTTTCAACGTGTTGCCGCTTATCTTATGGTGGAGATATGTGATAAAAAAAGTGGGATTCTCATGGTATTTGGTTTGCTGATAATTAGCGGCTTATTAGCGGTGTTTAAATTGAATGTTATCACAAAAAAGGATTTGTATTTTGGGATTTTTAAGTTTGTACATTTTTAGCTCATAATTATAAAAAAGGGAAATACTAATTATAACTGGTTTTATTGGATGATATCTCATATCTCCTTGCTATTATAAGATATATTTGTTGAACACTATTGGTAAATCAAAAGTAAATATTTTGAGTTAGTATCCCACCGCTAATGAAATCTCTAATTTTTGAATTATATTTTATAACAACAAAAATTATCGAATAATGAATAGCAACGAATAGTTCCTTAATAACAGTGGAAGATTTTGAGAGCTTATTCAAAAATACCATAAATGATTTGGTCATCAATGCGTCACCCGAAGAAAATTCTATGCTATTAGTCATTTAACCTTATTGGAAAAAATTCGTTTTTAAATTTTATCAGAGTGAAGTTAGCAGCATTTACATGAAATGATTAAAGCCCCTCAATTAAAGTACTTTGTAATATTTGAAAAATTTTCATTAAACAACATTTTAATAAATGCATTAAGCAAAAATGTTTCCTGATGTATTAATTTACTTTTAATTTACTATTATACAGGTGATTCATATAAGAACCGACACAGAGCAGGGACATGTAAAGGACAATAAATTAAGATGATTTAACGCAACTTATCTCTATACCAAGTTGTACCTCTCAGGAGTTATAGGCTTTCAAAGTTGGGTCTTAAATTTTAAAAACATTGAATATCTTCGTAATACATTAAGCTAGAAAAACCAAATTTGGTATACATTATGAGTGTACCGAGGGTATTAATTGGTAGCAAGTTGAGACCAATTGAGGCATTTCAAAGGGTTGATTAAGGGTGATGGTTCCCTAAATTTTGGCAGATTTTTTTTAACCATTTTGTGGATTTAATACATTATTACCTCATTTTATGTGGAATTTAATTCTAAAACTTTTTTTACTGTAACTATTTTTTAAAAAAACGTTGTCGTTTTTATAAAAAATTCAAAAAAAACTGAAGACGCGTACCTTGTTAATGCTACTTAAAATCATCGAAAATTCAGTAGTCCGCTGTGAAATTATACGTAATTTGAGGAATAAACTGTTTATTATGAACTAAAAAGACATCATCCATAAACAAATTTAGTTTAGGCATAATAATTTTCTAGTGATAAAG